AACTCTGGAATTTATCAATGGTTCAAGATCGAGCGGAATGAGGTGGTGTTACAATTTTCTGTTTACCTGTCCTTATGAGTGCTGTATAATACAAGTATTTGTGCTTTAATAAATATACAATAGAGCAAAAGCTCATAAGTGTCCGCTTTGGTTTTTCACAGAGAGTTGGTCGTCTAAAGGAATGAAAATTCAATTATTTTATCAAGAACTTTGAAAAGAAATGTTAACTGCAATAAAATATATTGCATTCAGTTCTCACATTTGACGATCTTTGTCACGCTCTATGTAACGTTCAGGGACACCGATTAGGAATATAGTTCAAAACCAGTTAAACATAGCATTGTTAAACGTATTTTAGTATTTAAACGGTAGATATAGGCATATTTTTATTCCCTAAAAATTTTTCATCTGTTCGGATTTCCTAGCTGAAAGTCTAGTGATCCGAAAATTATAGGGATCAAAACTTACCTTTTCGAAAATTTCAGCCAGAAAAAAGGCTCCCGCAAATTCAAGGTAACCTTTTTAGGGTAAAAATCCGTTAAAAATGGGCAATTATACCATTTTTTTAGATGTTCGAAAATCCTAGGAGAGGCAGGCAAGCAAGACATTTTACAACAAATGTTCCGAAAATTCTAGATCTCTAACCGTCTTCCGAACAGATATTTTCCGAAAATTGACGTTGGGTGCCCCTGTCAAGAGAGGTTATCAAACACATTACTGGGCGGCTTTGGTTGGCGTTTTGGGGTTATACTTCACGCTATTTGCTACCCTTGTAAAAACCTCAAACGTGTCTTCGCATCCGTTTAATTCCATGAATAATGGAGATCCAGTTTTGCTAGGGACTTGTCAGAAATTAGCAGGGGGGAGGGGGGGTGGAAACAGAGGGAGGGTCACAACTTTTTGAGACTGCAGAAAAGGGAGGGGTCATGAAAAATGGGCCTTTAAAAGGGGAGGGTCATGCAAATATGTGTCCATGATTACGTAGAGGTTCACCCACAGAAGAAAAAAGAAGTTCTTTATTTTGTAAAAAAAAAA